TACGGAATTTGTGATGAGACTTATAATAATAAGGATTAACACGGTGGTGTCCCTCAGTGCTCCAGAAACATCTGCTCTTCCGTTAACTCTCGCTAAAGAGCACATAAACGAGACAAGGGCGGCTATCACCGCTATGGGAGACAACTGAAGAGTGAACAACACTTGCGTAGTTTTCATCACGTGAAGATTGTGATTATAGGATAGATCAACAGTTCAATTGATTAACAAACATCCTAGTAATATAATACATACATGATCCGCTGGTGGTTATGCGTGTGTTTGACTGTCAGAAGATTATGAGTTCAGGAACATAGGACGGTATACCGTAACGCTCTTGACATGTGTGCTCGCCTTTCACTTCTCGTTTTCTCTGCGCTCTCTCAACGAAGAGGGAATGCGTCGAGCAAACTTGCCAACTATACTGAGCGCCGTTAATGTAGGAAGCGCCATTATTGAAATTCGCCTTTCAGCGCCTGTGGTGAGTCCTTATAATCCGAATCATCTGGGTCCCTCATCCTATACAGGGGGGGGGCAAAAAAAGAGTCACTTCTCTCCACATTCAAAACGAATTAATCTCGAACTGCGAAACCAAATCAAATGAGCCCAATTGCATATTAAAGAGCACATTCAATCTATCAAAAGTTACATGACAGCCTTCTACACCTGACGACATCAGAAGATTTTCCCACGGAAACATGGTTCACGGTACGAGCTCAAGAGCGATTACGGTAAGCCCCGTTAGCTTGACGGTGATGACGTCATATTCTGAAGACGGTGAGGGCAGTGAAGGAGGGCCTGCTTCTGCTTATGGGGGGACACCTAAGGAATATTCTGCCGTAAAACTTTCATTAACTCGGCATCCTGTGCGACGAAAAGTTTGATGATGTGCGCCATGGGCAAAGTGACTCTTTTTTTGGCCCCCCTGTATTAGGTTGTCCTGAAAGTCTTTGCCCATTTCCATGTGTATGTTGTGAAATCTCCAGGGATAATTTTTGAACATCCATTGTAAAACGTATGTGAACCCCAGTCAATGATCTCTCAGAGCATTTCTGCCGTGGTATTTCGCAGCGATTATGGCTGAGAAAATCGACTTTGACTGAAAGCATATTTGGCTACTCTTGATTCTAAAACCCAGAAAACGCGTCAGTGGAAGCGATGCGGCAAGACCCTACGTCTTGCGATGGACCTCCAGAGTGTCTTTCACGACATGGCAAACATTTGGTTGCCGATGTCCAGAAACTCGAGAAAAAAGCCCAAAGTCGGTTGGCTTGTTCGGTTGGCTTGTTACCCTGAGTGACGAGTGTCTTCTGGAGTTGTTGGAAACAGTCTCTGGTGCAATGCACGGTAACTGACACAGCTTTCCACAGTCATCAGAACACAATAGCCATTCCTCAATAGCTCCTCAAAAAGAGAAATTATGGCAAAAGGGATTTCGTGATCTGGGTGACAACCGCCTTCAGAAGCCTTCAGATTTTGCATGAACATTTTGATTTACCGGCTGTATCTTGTTTGACCCGACTACTTTGTTGGTGGTAGCAAGGAGTGGGTTCCTCAAGTAAACCACACCCGCGAGCGCCACTGGCTCAGACGCGTAGAACCAGAGATTCCGACGTCCACTCCAGCACTGCAACTTGAGAAGCTTGCTGACAGCTCCTACCAACGAACCTCACTGCTGTTGTAGTTCGATAATGTGGGCAAGCGGATGGGATCTCATGCACTATGCGTAGAAAACATTACAAAGATCACTTCATCCGAGCAGCGATCGTCAAGGAATTTTGAAGAAGGTCCACCAAAAGTCTCCAAGCCCCTCATGGGATGTTCTGTCCCACCATTTGTGTTCAGCAGATCCGGCCCCAACAGAATACCGTCTGCTTCTGTTGCTGCTGATTTTAATAAAAGAGGGAGAGCACTATTTTCAGGAAAGCTCGAAAACGGACTTCCTCCAATTTTTTGCCTTGAAATCTCGGCACTTCTAGGC